TACAGTGTATTTGCAATACACCTCTTTATTCTTCGACTGAAACCATACATCGTGCCACAGAAATATGTGTCCCTCTAGAAATCCATGAAATATACATTCCGTGATAATATGATATGCCTTGCTATGATTTACGCTGCAAATAATTCTCAAACCCAGTGCTCCAATATGGATATACAGCTGACACGTATTGGTCAACCAACGCGGCCTAATGCTACACAACCTAGACAATGATACATTAATTTTCGATGTAACCACAACCTAGTTTGCGGATGAACATAATACGGTCATATAAAAGCCTGTTAATCCGCATACCAACGACCCTCAGACCAGTGAAGTGATAAACTACCAACAAAGAGAACAGCAACAAGGCCTACCAATCTGCTCGGCGACTTCTTTTTCTTCATCATTCTCCCCTGGCCGACTACTCCCGACGACGGGTCCGACGCCCGACTAGCCCTAGTCGCTCGGGAAGAATATCTCAACCACATACGCTGAGTGAAGGTGTTCTCAGCCGAGACTGGGCCGGTAGCTGGGGTACTCTGAAATCACACAGTAAACTTCCCTCGAAGAAAAATAGCCCCACCTTAGTCCGTTGTGGCCCCGACTCCTCCTCAGAAGAAGACTCCCGCTCAACTCCACTCGAACGAACTATACCAACACCAGGAACGAACTGCGCATGGTCTAACGAGTCCGGATGTGCAGTCAGAGACATCGACATAGAATTCAATGCCTCAAACATATACCTGATATCACAAACATCACTAAAATTACCAACAACTTCATTATCTCACTCATCACTGCGATCATCTCCAATACACATAACGAAGTCTGGCGATTGACCATTTCCAGAAGTCGCTAATTCGGCTAATATGGTCTGGACCGCCAAACCTTTATTCACTCCTCTGAGCTTAGCCTGAGAGGCCAACACTAAATCGTCTCTTCCTATTGGAACACACTTTACTACCTCAACATAGCCTTTTCCCATGGTAACCTCAACGTCATAGCCCTTCAGATACTCCTCAAGAGACGAGTATAAATTCTTCGCCTACACGAAAAAAATACTACGATAAAAAGGCGGAGCGAAGCACCAACCTGATGCAGACCAAAATCAGGATCAGTGTCCCTAAACTGCCATACCAATGCAGATCCCTTATTCTCCACAAACGAATTTTGCGTCCGTGACACGTACCTATCGCCAAAAATGCCTATAAACTAACACGCCCCAAAACACCCTTACTGTCGCATGAGCTCTCCAGCTAGAGCCTTCCACTCAGCTTTTTTCGCGTCAGCCTCCGAGGCCTCGGGCAAGAGGCACGCCCATCCATCAGGACCCACAGGGGAGGGAACATGAGACTAACGACAACCATCGTTAATCACATTGTCGATTTCTGCCGTTACTACTTCCTCCTCTTTCCCTTTCCCCGGCGTGTGCCTCTTCATACTGTTAGGTGGCAGTTTCCAGTAGTACCCATGCTCTGCGGCTAAACCAATGTTGCGGACAGATCCGAACCACTCCTACGAGAAAATATCATCATAATCAATGGAGTTCCACCCGTGATATGAAAAAAAACTAACGAATGATATATTTCATGACTACCGCATAGCGCGAATATTGCGTTCTAATACGACATTTCACGTGAAATGTGTGAAACGCCAATACCATGAACTAACCTGTAATAAAGACTTCTCCCGCCCGCTCAAAATGACCACCGTATTCCTAGGGTCACTACACAGCTTCGACAAGCGTCCAATACTGCTGCTGAGGTGGGTTGCCGTGGGACATCAACGTACTGGACTGAG